GGGGGGGGGGGGCACAGAGAAAAACAAAGGCTTTCATGCATTATAAGTAGAAATATATCATTAGAGTTGATTTTGCATTTGAATTTTTTCCATGTATTATAATTAAAATTTTGTATTTCTTGGCTGACTGAACTTGGAAAAAAATATAGACTGCTAACTACTTTAAAATTTTCAATCAGAAACCTTTCCAAAATATTTTCAAGTTACTTTGGCTGAGCTGAATTAATCAATATGCAAGAGATTCAAAATAAGCTATTGAAGTTCTCAGGTTTTAGGATGAGACACACAGACTCTCCAGATATATAGTTCTGACCATATAATTTTATTGCTGGTGCCACCTGTGGAAGAAACAATAGAAATTTCACTAAAATACACCAATTTGAATTCCTTATTGCCCTGTGAGACTCCAAGGGCCCATCCCACTGTTACCTTTGTATTTGTCTGCCATCTTCTGTTCTGATTCTCAAGACTGGCTCCTGTCCTTCTGGAGTGTTAGGTTAGTTTGGACTCTTCTTACCCATGACTCTGGGCCCAAATCTTGAAAAATAAAAGCTAATACCAAATAATCTCCTGAATTTTGGGACAGGAAGATGAACTTTTTCTTTTCCTCCAAATGAATGTGCTCTGTACAAAGATAAAGATTCTTTCAGAACAGGCTGTAGTTTATGGATGCTCACCAGCCTTCTGAGTTTGGATCTGAGGATGTATCCAGACTCTTTTATGCCACTTCGAATTGGGCTAGGCAGTTTTACCTGGTGGATTGGAAATTCACACCCTGGGCACAGACTCTCTGTCATTTAAGTAGGAAGGAAAAAAGGCCCAGCTTCCTCAGCAGAAAATATGAGAAATGGAATGATGAAGACTTTTGTTAGAGGAAAAAAAACTCCAAGACCTGAAATAATTGTTATGCTTTTGTACTTTTGAAGAGACCAAAACCCATGTCTGTTTCAAGTAGAATGATAATTACCCATGTAATTTTCCTTCTGTTGAGCATTCTTTGAGGTTTGGTTCCCTGTCACTTGCAGAGCCTAAATTCTTTCTCTGGAACCCAGTTACCATATGTGGCATCATACTGGGTTTACATGACAAGGTTTTGGTAGCTAGGAGGATTGCAGGTGTGGCTTCTGTGTTTTCCCCCATGTTCGACAGAGCCAGTTCCAGCTGGCTCCATGACAGATCCACCACTGGCCAATGCTGAGCCAATAAGCAATGTTGGTAGCACCTTTGTGATAACATATTTAAGAAGGGGGGGGGGGGAAATTCCACCACACCATCAGCAATCAGAAGAGAGAGGAGTGAGAATATGTGAGAGAAACAACTCTGCAGACAGCAAGGTCAGGGAGGAGAAGGAGGTACTCCAGGTGCCAAGAGCAGATTTTCTGGCAGGAGCTGTGACCCTGCGAGGGACCCATGTCGGTTCCTGAAGGACTACACCCTGTGGAAGGGGCCCACACTAAAGCAGTTCATGAAGAACTGCAGCCCATGGAAAGGGCCCATGTTGGACAAGTTCATATGGGACTATCTCCTGTGGGTGGGACTCCATGCTGGAGCAGGGGAAGAGTGTGAGGAGGAAGCAGCTTCAGAGAAAACATATGATGAACTGACCACAGTCCCCATTCCCTGTCCCCCTGCACCACTCAGGGGGGAGATGGGGGAGAATTTGGGAGAGAAGTTGATCCCAGGAAGAAGGGAGGGGTGGAGGAAAGGTGGTTTTAGATTTGTTCTTATTTCTTGTTGTCCTATCTTGGCAATAAATTAAATAAAATAAAATTCCCCAGGATGTCTGTTTTGCCCATGATAGTATTTGCTGTGTGATGCCCCTCTCCTTGTCTCGACTCACAAGCTGTTCACTATATTTTCTCTTCACTGTCAAGTTGAGTAGGGGGAGTGATAGAGTGGCTTGGTGGGCACCTGACATCCAGTCCAAGGTCAAACCCAACACAGGGATTCTGCTTCAGTTTTTCTAGTCTGTGTTCTCAGTTCCTTTCAACTCCAGCTTGTAGAGCTGTTGAAGATTTTCTCAGTAAAAAGAGTTCCTGTTGACCTTTTAAAGACCAACCCAGATAGTTCTTTCTGTGGTCCTGCTCTGGAAACTCTTCTTTCCCACCTGTTGACAATCTAAAAAGAAAACAGATTGTAGTGAAGTTACAGCCATTTTGTTATTCAGCTGGACACTGCCAATTCCCTCACTGGTTATTCTTGATAATGATTCATGGTAGGCTGCTAGGTACTTCTCTAGGTAGGCTCCCTCCTAAATACAAGAAATTAAGTAAGTGGTCAGTGTATGTCTATAATAATTTGTTTTTACAAAATCCTAAGCAGTTAAGTGGAGGCCATAGAAGGAGCTGCACTGTGATCAAGGTGTCACTTACCTGGGCAGTGCATTGGAGCAGGCTTTACTCTGTGGCACCACTCTAATTGAGATGCAAGCTGTAAATTTTTGGAGGAAAGATAATTCTTATTTTTAGTATGAAAATCTTTTAACATGTGTAAATATATAACGTAAGGATCTGTCTCTGCCATCCATATGCCAAAACAAGTGATGAGTGGTTTCAGGATACTCCTGAGTTTGAGGAAAATCGTGCAAAGCAAAAAGACTTCTGTGAAGACTTGTACATGTTTGTTCACAGTTTGGGGTTAAAATTCCCAGCGGTTTTCAGTTTTTTAAAAGTTGTAAAAAATTTATTGCTGTTTAGATTTTGAAGTATAGAATGGAATTGGTGCTTGAATTATCTATGTGAGAGGTTGGGATCAATTTATATGGTTGTTGATTGCACTTGCTGACTCCTAAGGGGATTTAGGATAGTGCCTTTACTGAGTTTTGAGGAAAAAAAAAGCATACTTTTAATTATGCAAGTATTTAACTGTTTTCCTTTGTTTTTAATCATTAGGTGATGCTTTTCCGTGGACTATTAGTCTCCATCGTTTCAGTATATATACGCTTCTTGGACAACAGATGACACTTAATTTAGTGGAACCAATGGGCTGTACATCTACTTTAGCTGTTACTTCACAGAAACTGCTTGCTTCGGAGCCAGAATCCAGACATTCATTTGTTGTCTGCCTCCATGTTGACCTTGAATCCCTTGAAATAAAGTGCTCCAATCCCCAGGTTGGTGCATTTAATTGATTTATGAAAGGAGATTAAAAATAACTCTATATAAGTACAATTGTTCTGCATTTTGTTGAAGAGGATCTCTTCTATCTTAATTTTTTTCTAAGTGGGCCATTGAGATCAAGGTGCTTAGATTAATATTTGCTTTGAAGCTCTCTCAAGTTTTGTAATTTAAACTCTTCTCAGAATGTAATAGCTACAGTATAAATGCACCTTTTGGCTGATGGATTGAAATGAATTGCAGATGTACCATTAAGTGCTATAGTGCTGTTCTGCCGTGAATTCATATATTGAAGTGTTTTCATGTAATTTTTTAGCATATTTTCATAGAACTAATATTTTTTTCTAACATAAAATGGTTTTTAGGAAAACAATGGTATCCTTGAGTAATGGGAAAAAAAAACCCAGATGAATGTATGTAAACAAAAGTTAGGACCTTATTTATGTTTATTAAAGGCAAAGATGTTGCCAGATTTTCAGAAAATGCACCCTGTGTTTTCAGTGATTTGGATCACTTTTGCTATCATTCCAAACAGGCTAGATTTTCTGTGCAAAATTTTGAGTAATCCTTACTACAACCTGAATAACACTTTCCTGACAATTGCAACATTTCCAGTGGTGCTACAGAGAACACTCTTGTTCTTGGGAACTGCAAACCTGTTGAGGACTGAGGAGGTTCTGCACTCATATGGTGCCTGCCCCAAGGTTTTAGCCATATACAAGATTTTTCAAAGGTTTTTCAAAGGATGGACCCCAAAGTTATGGACAAAATGGAGTGTTTATTGCTTCATTTAAAGAAAAGAAAGGGAAATAACACAAAGCATTATAATTTTGATCTGCTAGCACAGCACATTTTTAAAGATTTGTGGAGCTATTGCCCAAGCCTGGGAATACTAAAGCCAAGGTGGCTGGTGTAATTTTAATGTCATCCCTTGTGTGTACTCATTACAATATATTTCTCCGTCATGTGCAATTTTTTCCTTGCATCATTCCGTGTTCTATGAATGAAACAAGCATTTTAAACTACCTGTTTATTTTTCCCCTCAATGTATAGTCTCCTGCCCCATTTACTGCCTTCCATGCAAGTTATTTCTGACTCTCTTACCATATGCCGTTCTCTCCTGTCCGGGATGGGATCACACTTACTACAAAGGGGGTTGGTAGTGAGATTATGCACTGAACATGTCAAATTAAAATGTAAAATTGAGCAGCCTCAACAAGGTTTACTAAGACTTGTAAAGCTGTATGATAGGTGTTTTTCAAGATATGAAAGGTTGTCACTGTGTTATAAATGTGTAAATAGGAAAGGGCTTAATTATGATTTTGTTGTCAATTTTATATTTAAAAACTTCTGAAAGCTTTTCAGCTTTGTGATACTTAACAGAATCATAGAATGGCTTAGGTTGGAAGGGGCCCTAGAGATCATCTAATCCGACCTTCTGCGATGGGCAGGGATGCCTCTCAACTAGACCAGGTTCCTCAGAGGCTCATCTAACCTGGCCTTGAACACCTCCAGGGAGAGGGCATCCACAACCTCTCTGGGCAATCTGTTCCAGTCTCACCACCCTCATACTGAAGAACTTCTTCCTAAGATCTAGTCTAAACCTACTCTCTTTCAGTGTAAAACCATTTCCCCTTGTCCTGTCACTGCACAGTCTTGTGAAAAGTTCCGCTTCAGCCTTCTTGTAGCTTCCCTTCAGGTATTGGAAGGCAGTTATAAGGTCCCCCCAGAGTCTTCCCTTCTCTAAGCTGAACACTCCCAGTGCCCTCAGCCTATCCTCATAACAGAGGCGGGCCAGTCCCTGGATCATCTTTGTGGCCTCCTCTGGACTCGTTCCAACAAATCTATGTCCGTTTTATGGTGGGGACACCAGAACTGGATGCAGTATTCGAGGTGGGGTCTCACAAGAGCAAAGGGGAAGAATCACATCCCTTGATCTGCTGGCCACACCCCTCTTGATGCTCCCCAGGATGCAGCTGGCCTTCTGGGCTGCATGAGCACAGTGCCGGCTCATGTTGAGCTTCTTGTCAATCAACATCCACAAGTCTTTCTCTTCAGGGCTGAATTCATATGTAATAATTTCAAAGCCTATGGTAATCTGCCTTATTCTGTATTAATTTTCATAGAACGGGATAAAATTCATCTTGATATTGCAACTTTTCACAGAACTAGTAAACATTTTGAGATGTTCATATAGCAAACTAGCTTGCTACATTTGATTGTACCAATCGTACATATTCTCAGTGAAATTCTAGCAAATGCTCTGATCAACTCTAATTTTTTTAAATCTCCAATTAATCTCATTATTAATATTTAATACATTAATAGTATTAATTTATAAGCAGAATGACACTGTTATAAGTGGAAGACTTATTTAAATGTGAGTTGCTAATTAAAAAGAAAAATGGTTTAAGTAAATGTTTTCAAGCTTTTCTACCAAAGTATGACCAAATAATTTGTTTTGCAAACTGTAAGAAGATATTTGCACTAGAAAATGTGAATCGTAAGCTCCATGTAAGTCATACTGCAAGTATAGTACAATGTTAAAATGAAGTTGTACAGTGGAATATCAGACTAAATATTGTTGTCTTAAAAGATGTCCTTCATTTACTGAAGTATTACAATGTCCAAAAGGATGCAAACAAGTTATGTGAGTTAAGTGAAGGTTCCTGAGCTGTACTTTCTCCCTTATGTCTGTCTTGCTTGTCCTTTGTGGTTTGCTTATGCAAAAGGGGGGAAAAAAAAAATCTGTCTCCTTTAACCAGATGTTCAGAACAGAAGATGGAAAATACAATTACATAAACAGCATTTGCTAGTTACAAATTCACAGGAGAGCAACTATGAAATTTGATTCTTTAGAATGCCAGGTTGTATTTTGTCTATAGATGACAGCCTTAGAGTAGGTGATACTTAATGAATTTGTTAAATGGCAGCAAAGGTGAAATATTTTACTGTATGGGTTTTATGAATTAATATGAAACCATGTTCTGATGGTTGTATCCCTTTAAAATCAATAGATACTTCCAGTGTGCAAAATTGCCAGGATATTGTATTTTGTTGTAGTTTTCAATTTTGTAGTAATGTGTTATTTTTTAAGTACAGAATACTGTAGCATATTGAACTTTACAGATTTTGCCAAGTAGTCAGTGGGGTCTTACTGAGTTATGCATGGTTTTGCTGGGGAAGGAATGGAAGCAGTGAGAGAGGGAAACTTTTCTTCATAAATACTGGCAGAGTTATTCCTATTTTTGTCATACCATTTTTCTTCTCCTGAATAGAGTGTACTAAAAATAATTATTCTGTATTAACTGTTATGCTCAAAATACTTATAAAGATGGAGGCCTTACACTTACGTTAACTCTTCTAATAAAATCAGAAATGGATTTTCAAAATACTAATACTCAAAAAGTGCAACCAAGAGGAGAAGTAGAAATCCTTCTGTTTTAATAAGTAAAAACTGATGGAATAGAATTAATTGTATTGAAAGTACTCAGACGTAACTTGAGCTCTTTATCTGAAGTTTAAAAATTTTATTTCCATATGGATGTGTGCCTTTTTTCTTGTTTTAATGGAGTTTTGGTGTGAGATATTTCTTTATTTTTTACTTTTTAACATATCTCCATGAAAATCATCTCCCTCTAATCAGAATGTGCCTTTTTTTCTTGGTGGACTTGCTCTGTCTCTTGTTTCAGAGCAGGGTAGAGTATTAAGGCCATACTACATGCATGTCTGGCGATGTTCAGAGAGGTGGCTTCTGCTGTCTGAAATAGCCACCATTTCAGAGTGGCTGAAACAGTTAAAAAAAAAAAAAAATCTCTCTCTTTCCATAAGTAATTATTAGTTTCAATGATTATGACTGCTGCAACCCTAATAAGATACTAACTCTTCAGTGTTAGATTAGCAGATGACAAACCTCTTTATCTTGTGTATGAGCATGTATGTAGACACAGAAGTTGCATCATTCCTTCTTTTGCCTTATTTTGTGCCTTTACGAAGAATAGCATATTTAAATTCCTGAAAGCTTTGCTTCATTAAGACAGGTATCATTTAAATTGTCCTTTGATTTATAGAACAAAAAATATTTTGAAGGGAGGTTGCAAGCATGTGTGATTTGGGTATGTGCCTGTATCCTATTAATTTTCTAGAGACTCTCTTGCCAGCAAAGTGTCAACACCACTTAATGTTATATTAATCAATCAGGTGGACATTACTAGCTGATCTCCCTGAGTTATATGGAAGAAACTCAGGAAAACCTAGAGATTTTTAACTAGTAATTTAAAGACTACCAGTGTGTATCAGAGTGCTACAGACAAAAAATATTTTAAAGCATAACAGAAAGAACTTTTTGCCACAGCCAGAGTTAATGTCTGTCTGTAGATTGGTCTGTATAAGAAGACAAAAGAAGTAAGTGAGAAGTTTATCTCTGTTAAGGAAAAATTCTGTAAAATGAGTATATGACCTGCTCAGTGTAAGCCTTGAAACTTCAAAAGAAAATCCAAGATGTATTAAGAAGGTTTTTATAAAATTCCAGCATTTCACCTCTTAAGAAAGGACTGTAGCACGTACTTTGAGACTTCACACACTCTCATGCACAAAATCAAGTACTGTTTTATATCAAATGTAGATTGACAACAGTGTTTTTCTGCATCTGTTCTGCCCACATAAGAAGCCAGCTTCATAGAGTAGATGTGTCCTGAGGCTTAAAGTTCTTATAAATAGGAGAATTTCCATTTTTTATAGTGGCAAGTTTGGTATGGTATCCAGCTGTGGATCTGCTTATATATTGTTTGCAGTCTTCTCTGTGCTTGTTTTATTCAGTATATTGCAGTATGTTGTCATACAAATTCCATGATTAATGCTTATTTACAAAAACTTGTGTAAATATCTTAGAACTGAGTCAAACAATGTGCAAGTTAAACAGCATGTTTCTGAATATTGGAATGACATATGCCAGGAGAATATGGAGTTTGATAGTGAATATTCTTCCTAAAACATAGAACAGTTTCATATGTTGTGCAGGATCATTATTTTAATACCATTTAAGTGAATAGTTTCTGTATTGTTAATACTTCCTGAAGTTTATGTATTTGCCTATTTCTGGAGCTGGTATCTATACATATGAAATATACCACAACTTACCTTTAATTGTTAAAATTGATATTATTAAGTTTTACAAGACCATGTTATTGGTTATGTTTTTATGAGCTACGTACCATATGTACAGCATATGACTTTTTATCAAAATCACTATACTAACAAATATATATTTATTAATTGTTTTAATTGCACTGTAATTGCTTATCAGAATAGTATAAATAGTAAGTTCTGTTCCGCTACATTCTAAGTCTCAGTGGAGGACTTTAATTTTTCCTTCACCTCATTAAGGAAAACTTAATCTTAAAAAAGTGTGGGATTTTTTTTCTTTTAGGTGCAGCTTCTGTATGAACTGGCTGAGATCACAAGTAAAGTTTGGAATAAAATTCAGAGGAAAGGAATCCTGTATCAATCTTCTGTGTATACTGAAAGCATGACAGGACCTGCTCCTCCTAGCTCTCCAGTTAAAAGTAGTGTTGGTACCGCTCCACCAGATACCAGCACATACAGCCCATCTGCTGACATTGGGACTACTACAGAGGTAGGCTTTCTTAAAAAGAAAAAAAAATTAAGATGTGGTGGTATATAGTGAATTGAAAACCAGAAGGACTAGGAAAAGCAGTAACATCCCTATGGAAAGTAGCTTTGCTCTGATAAACTAATGAAGAATACTTCATTACTCAGTTTGGTGGAACGAGAGGAAGGAGAAAACAAAAAAAAAAAAAACAAACAAAAAACCTAACCAACCAAAGAAATTGCTCTGTTGCTTGTATTATTTGTCTGGATTGTTTCTGTTCGAAGTGAGTGAATTTTCTGACTCTTGTCAGAAAATGGTGGTTACAGTTTTCAGGTCAAGAAGCATAAGGCATTTTTCAAGTCCAGAATTATTAGTATAGTAACTGATGCTTTGGAAGCATCTGTGGTACTTGTGCTGCTTGGGAGTCATCACAGGTAGCTTCAGCAGTCAGCCTGCCGTACTGAAACCAGTCACTACAATGCCTGAGTCTGATGGAGGGCTGATGTGTGTAGACTGTATTGGCAACCAGGAGAGGTACAGGGGCACTGGAGGCTGCCAAGGCTGACATTGCAGGTCACCACCCAGCTGTATGCTAGCCCCAGGTCTGTCCAGCCACTCTTATCCTCCATCTGTGAGGTACTTCTGGAGCTCAGTTCCTTCACTCTCCCAGCTGTTACATGTCTCAAGAGTGCTTTTTTAACTCTGTCAGATGAGGATTTGGGTGTGTAGCTTCAAATATAAGAAAGATTGGCCCCTTGGTTTTATGTATTTCTACCTCTTTAATTTACAGCACTGTATAACTGCCTGGAGCAATCCAGTACCTGGTCTAAATCTCCATGTGTGTTTAAGGCTGTAAAATATTATTTTGAGGCATGTGAAGGAGCTCAGCTTCTCTGCCATACTGAGGAAAGAAGGCTAATTCTTTTGTCAGCATGAAGACAGTGTTAAACTTACCTATGAGTATCATTAGCTATGAGTCACCAGGTAGCTGATTTGTAGTAGAGTGAGTGGTCACAGGAGGCTGTGCCACTGCGTAGGCCTGGTATTTGTGATTTTCTTAGTGCCTCTGTCAAGCTTACTACTTAGGGTAGTGAGCTGGCCTTGCTTGTGCTCCAGGAGAGAACCAAAAACATGTTAAGATGAGTTGAAGGGATACCAGTGGTAAAATAATATATATGCAATATTTAACTCTTAATATAAAGCTATTAGAATGTGGAGTGCCTGTTCTGCAAGACTGGGTTTCGTTCTCATGACAAACACAGCAATTTGGGGGGTACCTCACACAACAGTTGTGGAACACAGGCTTTCTATGTGTGTGTGATCCGAACTGTGAAAAAAATTTGCCATGGAAACAGAATTGAAGGTAAGTAATAATGGTAAGAAAACAATATGGGCACAAAAATATTTTTTTACACCTACTCACATCAGATCTCTTTCTCATTAAAGTCATAAGCCACTCGCTTTATAAACAAGGATTTGGTTTTAAACCTCCATATAGACAGCAGTATTTGGAGCACATGCTGTATTTTGAGCACTACTTGAAACTGATTCAGTAATTGTTTTAATCCATATCTTACCGAGGTTATTTTGGTAATATGGGTCCAAGTTCAGCGTTCATATCCTATCTCTTTGCAAAAAGTTGTTCTTCTTTTCTTTCATTTTCTTCCTGTTCTCAACAAATGTTATGCACTAGCTCAATAAATTTTCTCCTGATCCAAGTGAAGTTTGATGGACTAATCAAAAAAGGACAATGTTAGAAATTGTATTCAGTCTTTTCCACTCTGAAGTTTACTATAATTTCAATCTTGTTAGAATAGAAAGGTCTATTAGAACACATGGCATTAATATAGGGGTTTTTTAACCACGGGAGGCATTGAGTTGACATAGCACTTTCCAACTGAGATTTGAAAACTACTTTGAAAGGGATGCATCACTTGGCTTAGACAGGATAAGTATGCTCTGATGTTATAAAAGATATGGAAGAGGAAAGAAAGCTACAAACAGGAGAAAACATTTGAATAAAGCCATAGTTTATGTGACTGAAAGACTGAGGCATAGAGCTTCTGCCCATCATCTCCATTACGAGTTCTCAGACCAAGATGCTCTGTCTGTGGCTGGGATAGGAAGGCAGTTCAGAAGAACGAGCCAGCACAAGGGACATACAAGTGCATGGATAAAAAAACATACTGTCAGATGTCATTTGGTGGAGAGGTGAGGTGGGACAATGTACACACGGCCAGATATTTGAAATTGTAAGAAGTTTTATGACAGAATCTGAAAATGGGAATTAGAAGGCTGAATTATATCTTGTCAGGAAAAGATTCGTGGAGTTGTTCAAGCAGGAGGGTAATGGTTTTGGCTCAGCAGCTGAGGAAAATCTTACTCCATTTTTGATTCACTGGGTGGGAATATTAGATGCACTGAGGTGATTAAATCAAAACAGTATGTAGGATGTACAAAAGTTTTAATTCACAGTAAAAAGAGAAAGGCAAATGTTTTGAATTACTGTGGTTGAAAAAAAATGCTTGGAGAGAATCTTTGTCGTGGGAAGTCAAGCCAGAGTTGAGATTCCTATAAGACGAGTAGCTACAAAAAATGCTGTATTTCTGATTGTGGGTACTATAATTTTTATGAATTTGTGAGTCACTGTTTATACTTGAAGACCGCGTTTCATATTGGTCTTGTGATTTCTTGAAAAAAGTTAGTGGTACTGTAAGTTGAAAACTAACAACCAGTGAAGGATTCATCTAAATAATTTTGTTGTTCTAGGATGTAGTATCAAAGATTGTCTTGACCTAGTGCTTTCTTGTATTTAAAGACTGAGTTTTAAACCAAAAGAAACCTCAAGAAACTAATTATCCCTTCACTTTTAGGACTAATTTTATGTCAAACTACCAGTTGGAGTGAGGTGAATCATGTAGTAGGATGACCAAGTTAATACCTTCTAGATGATGTAAACACAGAGACATTTTCCAAAAAAGTTTTTTTTAAGCCATAGAGAAAATGATCTTAAGCACTCTATTACCATTTTAAATCAATGTAGTCATCACTTTACCAGATTTTTTTTTTTCCTTTTTAATCATTTGGTGGCCATCAGTAAAAATAAATCTCAAAGTGTTTGGAAGCTATACAATGAATTTGCAAATCATCATGTGTAAAGTAGCCAACAACATTGTTCCCGAGGCTAAGCACAGTCTTGTTGCCTGTGAGTTGTGTAGTATTGTTGAGGGTAGGAAAGGGAGAGAGGTAGGATAAGCATACTTGGCCAACCAATGAGAAATAGTACAAGGAACCATATTTTCCTGTCACTTTTTTAATAGGCTATTTTAGAGAATATAAATTAAATAATTTGTAGCGTAAGGGTTGGCAGTATCTCCATAACACATTCTCTTCTGAGGTTATTGTCTGAATTTGAACTTTCAATGTATTTCGTAGTGTCAAAGCACAAACAGATTTTTCATTATAATGACATGGTTGCTGTCCCGTTCTTTGAGTTAAAGATTGTTGAGAATTTAAAAATATATGTATTGAAAAGGCTGGGGAATGTTCTTCCACATTCTTTTTCACCAGAGAAAGCTGTTTGTCACTTGAGAGTAGTTAATCACTTAGTTTCCCTGTTCCTTGTTAACGTTGTTACTGTCACCATACTTAGCTGTAGATAGCATGATCACGAAATTGTGCATCTTTATTTGAAGATGGTAGGATGTGAAGAAGAGAGAGTCTTGCCCGTTCTGCTGTCTCCAGCTGCTACTTTGAACTACTTCAGACTGCTGAGTGCCTCAGTTATAGTCCATATAATATAGACCTTGTTTGAAAAAAATTAACCTCCGTAGTATGTTCACCTATGCACAGAACACCATTACAGATGCAGGGGTGCGGCTGAGTGGCATCTGTACAGAGCGCTAGGCAGCTATTCCTCTGCCCAAAAGCAGGCAAAGCAAGTCAACAGGATTTGTGGACAAGATGTGTAGACAGTTTTGTTTTTTTTTTTTGTCTCCTGTGAAGTACAGCAACTAGTTCTACCTGTCAGATTGCCTAATGGGCTGCAGATGCCGGTCTGTTATATCATACAATTTTCAGTGAGGCCAAGATTTTCTTCTGGGTGGACAGTCTCTACAGCCTATCCAAGGAAGGATTGTTGTCTATAACATCTATCTTAGACATAAGTATTTTTATTTGGAGACTGTTTCTGTTCACAAGAGCCTAATTAGTGAAATCCAAACAAGTATTTTTAAATTCAGTTGCATTGTATTGCACCCAAGTACAGTTGAGAGATGAGTATTTTTCCAGGTACCTTCTGAAGAAATTTTAATTTCAAAGAGTGTGGGAGTCGGTCAGGGGATGTCAGAGCAACCTAATGCTTGTGAGCTTCATATGTCATTGTGTTCTTCAATTATTCTTCAAAGACTGATACAGAAAATTTGAGCCATGGTGAGGGATTGGTGACGTTAGGATACAGCAGACAAAAAGTTATCTTTAATACCTCACAGAAATGGTGATTGTAGGAACTGGGATGTCAGGAAAGTTAACCAACTGAGCATAAGTGATACTGTGTGGAAGCAGCAAATGATTGAAACAGGCATGATTTCAGTGAATGATACAAGGGCAAGAGAAGGTGGAAGCAACTGAGAAGACTGGAGCAGCATTCCACCATTTTCCTGGGTCTGATTTATCCCTATCTGTGGTTTTGCTACTGATTGGAACTGGACCCACTCCTCTTCCATCCCACAGAGTGTGAATTCCATCACAGGAGCAATAAAAGCAGGTGAGGCTGTTATAGTGCAGGCACTCATTGGCCAGGAGACCTAACATCAACAAAGCCTTACTTGATTTCTGTCTCGATACTGGCAGGTCCAAAACCAATTTGCAAATACTTTGAGAAATAGAAGAATAGTTTTATATTAATTTATTTAAATACTATGTACTTAATGTCTTTGTATGGTCTAAAATGCTAGTACTCGTTACTTGTAGATGCATATTTTGGTCTTTAATGTTACTCAGAAAGAAGTCAGTAGGAGCAAATA